ATCCTTCGGTTTTACTGGTAGTATATTGCTTGCCAATGTTATCTAAAATCTACCGTTATCCACGTAGAAACCCTTTTATTTTCCATTTAAATGCGAAGCTTTTTATAGATGTTGGAATATTTTACTTTGAAAATCGATTACTGACGTTCTCGAATATTTATGTTTTATATCGGCGAAGGTACGCGAAATTTTATGAAACACGGTAAATACACGGTACAGTAGTAATTCACGGTTTCTAAACGTAGAAATGAGATTAGCTTGTAGAGTCAAGCTAAATCTCATTAAAGGATAGTACATGATAGGGAGGCAGAGCATAATTTGTAAAACCGCGGATTTAATGTACTAATGCTACGTTTCAGGCCTAATAAGGCGATTATCTAAATGTGAGCAGAAATTTTCAATTAGTCCCCCCATTTGCATAGCGTGAATGGAAATTGTTAACACAATGAATAATAAAATTATTAATCGAAAGATCGAAATTTGCCAATTATTAATTATCGCTTTATTTGTACTTGTACGGCAGAATATGAAATCGAATTATGAACTGGAAAAGGAAAAAAGTGAAATTTATACGAAACGTCCCATCAATATTAATCGCAATTACGTCAATTTCATTTTCAGTTTGTATTTCACCGATTTTAATTAGTTTTGTCAAACTTTGCTAAATTAATTTACTGTGAAATATGCTAATTGGTTTGTCGTAATTTTATCGTCAGTAAATTCGATGAGGTAGGCACCATTTTACGTCAATTAGCTATTTTATGTGGCTCCGATTTTTTTAGTTCGTAACTTCGTACCGCATTGAGCTGAGAAGTAGAGAAAGGAAAAGGTCATCTGTAATTATTGGCCATTAGAAGTATAGTAGGTCTCGGCGTTATCTTACATTTATTAGATTTTCTATAGGAGTCGTCATTAGAAAACCACAAGACTGAGATTCTATCGTAAATTATTTCACGTTAAGTAAATACAGCTTCTCCTTTTATCTGTAGTATTACTTGTATTTTGCCTTAATTTATTAGCAATAGTGATTCCAGAAATCCCGCATTCCGTCAAGTAGTCGATTCCATATAGGATACACTGGTACGTAACGTAACAAATTTCCCACGTGGTAAATGAAGAAAAAGTGAAATATAGTAATAGCAAACCCGATAGGCGCCACTTAGTTTTTAGTAAATTTCAAAAGAGGGGAATAAGGCTGACTAAGAGATCCTTGGTCTGGTATTGATAACCTAAAAAGGTAAAGTAATGGGCAGGGGGAATATAAACAAGAATTAGTATCACAATCGAGGGTAATTTAATAAATGATCTCAAAATACTACAAATAGATCACTGTAATATCTAGACCTGAAATGATCAACTCGTAGTCAGGATGAGTGGAGCTATAATTTTTAAATGATTATCAAACAAATGTAGTAGTAATTATAATTCGATTGTATCGAAAACCACTTGTAATCAAACATTATATCTAAGAGTCTTCGAAAATAAAAAACTTACTTTGAACTCTGGTTGGCCTTTTGAGCTCAGAAGGGCGGTTTCAATGTCGAACGTCTGATACTAAGTAAATCGTATACTAAAACCATAGTTAATACTCATCAGAATCAATAATTCAATATACATTAACTAAACAAATGCAAAATTTTGACTCTACCATGGATTGTCCGTACAAGTCGGTGTATAAAACTAAACAAAACCTACTTTAGGATGCACAAATAACTAAATTTCTATACAACAACAAAGGTCACTAATATATTCGTATAAGGAAAGCTACAACAAATCTACTACACAAATAACTTACATCTTAACTAAACGGGTTTACAAAGTGAATACATAGATGGCGTCATAATATTGAACATAAACGAGAGTAAGAATCGGAAAGAGTTACTTAAACGGATGTTAAGTTTGTAATATCAATAATGGTAACAAAAGAACGTTACAACACTCAGTGACATAATTGCAACACAAAGAGCGATTTCCTATATCTTTTGTAAAATTATTTTGGTAGCCATTAGTGAAGGTTTTCAGTTACTAATCGATCGATTTTAACAAATAAAATTATAAATAAATAAAATAAAAATAAATAATAATAAATTTTTGGGTTCGATTGAAACAAATACGCGCATTTTACTAAGATATCACGGTAATTTTAGCAAAGTTGAGCTAGCCGTGGTTATATTAATGGGGCAAGAAATTTAACATTACCATAAACAGTCACAATTTAGTAAAACGTTCAGGGATTTCCCCACCCTGAAATGTAAACCTGGTTACATTGATTTGCAAAGAAATACTTTGATATGACCAAAAATATTGGATATTGGAATATCGACTTTGTTCAATGTAGGTTATGATATCCTTTTTCACTATTTTTGAATCGCCTAAAATTTATTTGCTTATACTATTTACAAAATTGAATACCACAAATCATACATTAAAAAAGGAATCGCTTCTAAACTGACTTGAATTTCTGACAAAAATCAGAGCACGTTGCAATAGAAAGTGCAGTTATCACCCCTTCATAAAGGTAACGGTGTTTTGATTAAACAAATAACTATTGGAATATACAGAGGACATAAGAGTAATAATAATAGAAAAAAAAAACATTACCGATTCACGATTACAATAAAGCGTCAAGTCAAGTCAAGTTGGGGTTATATGAATTAGAAAGCGGTGCAATTTGGAACAAGACGACTTCGATGCAAATTGTGAAGCACCGTCTGATTGCTTCAGTAAAGCTAAACCAAGAATTGTACGTGGCTCAATGTTTTATAATCGAAGCGTTAATTGCGTAGGTTCGCAATTCATCAACATTGGTAGTATGTACAGAAAAAGCGTATAAATTTCAATGTAGAAAGGTCGATAAAAACTGTATATTTATTTAGAAACAAGCCATAAATTTCGGATTTGGGACATTGTTGTGATTGCACAAAGAAAATAAATAACAATGAGCATTTTTCCGTACGAGTAAGATTCCGCATGAACTTTTATTCTTATCGAATATTTTTTTTATAGAATAGATAGGGGATGCACAACGTACCGATTTTGGTATAGAGTTTAATGGCCAAAAATACTTATCTGGTCTATCTTTTGGGAGCGTTTCCAACATCTGCGTGTAAAATATGAATATTTCTTTTTGGAGGAGAGGAAGTAGGGTTATAAAGGAGGATCAAAGTACCGTTCATTGCAGAGACATTTCTGCAAAGGCATGCGACCCGAATAATGTTATAACCTTCGCAAAGCAAGACCCCCTTCGAAACTTTCAACATCCCTTGTACTGACGGACAACATGCCACCTAAAGCACATTAAAGCGTTTAATATACTTTTTATAGTTACAACCGTGTCCCCTTTTTATACTCAACAGATTAGTTTACGACATCGACGTAAGTTGCTTGAGGGGATTTTGGTTCGCAAGTGACAATCCTTAATTAATTAGCTACGCTGGAGCGGAGGGCGCGATGTAGGTTAATCCATCGTATCTTACCCTAACCTTAGTTTTATTAAGACGCATTGTAACAGAAGGAATCTAATCAGAACTGTATTCGAATGGAAAACTAGAAACTCAATCTGCGATAAATTGTACCTAATTACACGCTTAATATAAATGCACCCCCTCCCTCTCTAAAAAAGCACATGAATAGACCCCAAAATCGAAATAGAACTGAGGTTCATTTTCATGCTGAAAAGTTCTTTCCATTCGGGAATGTTGTGCTTTAATTAACACTATTTTCTCACGAGCCATTGCTGTTTCATTTGTCTGACAATTTCTTCTGCTTTTTTTGTACGAGCATTATATATCGCATTTTTGTAACTTTTGTTTCAGAAATCTCTCCAACTAATTTAAGTTGCGCTATAGGTAATCTGTTTTAACATTGGAAATGTTTATGTTGCCGTATATGGCTACAATGTTATAAGTTTGTTTCAGGCGACCGTACTCGAACGTGATCGGTAGGTCACGAATACTATCGGTACGAACCATTCACCAAAAAATAACTGCAATGCCCCACGTTGGGCGAGCAAAATAAATAATGCTGTGACCTAGGCTGTGACCCTAGAACTTCGGGTCAAATACAACGCTTTTCAAACCTAGCTAGCGCTTTAATGACAATTTTTCTCGGTACTGATCCGCATCCCACCCCAGCAGAACGATTTAATTCTAACCTTACATTCCTGATTCCGGGAAAATAGTGTCCGAGATCAAATCCCTAATTCCAAACGGCCTGTTACCAAATTTGGACATCGACTTAAAATGAACTTTTGGCCTGAATCAATAAAATTAATCGTAATAGAGCATAAGACCTATCTTTTCGTCGTTAAAGGGCCCGAATTAATTTTAGGTAAATAAAATTTACTTTATAAACACACATGAAACTAACCAATATACTCCTACCACAATGTCCGAAAAATCAAAACCCATATGCGTGTTCAAATACAAACATTAAAACAGCTACGAAGAGAAACAAGTTTTCAAGTCAAAATATCCAATATTTAGCGAACATGAAGAAGAAGAAAATGAAGAGTTTTACCGAATCAACATGAAGAAGTATACTAGAGAATTAGAATTACACAAAAAATGAATGATTAGGATTACAGTATAAATATTTTTTAAGATGGAGTTAACTGGGAGATTGAGCGAGCGATGAGCTGGAGAAGAATCGAAGATATTTACCATGAGAAGAACTTGAAGAAATGTTGGTGGAATTTTAATGAGGGAGTTATAATAATTCGAGAGAAAGAGGAAGGTATGAACAGAGAAGGAAGTGTGAAGCAGGAAGAAGAGGATACAGTTCCCCGCATCCGGAAAACTACAAAGACGGGAACCGGGAGCCCCACTAGTTCCTTGGAGGCTTCGAAGAACGCAGGAGCCAACAAATTTAATTAACTTCGCCAGAAATTATTTCCAACAAGTTAAAATCAAACAAGAAACAAAAGCAACTGCAAAAGAAAAAGAAAATAAAATTTAAAAAAGATAAAATAAATTAAACCCAGATATTACTATAGTCCTTTAAAAAGGACGCAAAACAGTGCACTGTTTTTCGGTTCATAAATCGTCGAAACGAGATGGAACCACTAATATTGCATTTAATTTCTTTCGTTGACACTTTACGCGCCATTTTAATCTTACTACTTTGTAAATACAACAACACGTGTACAGTGAGTCATTGTTCTAATACCGAGTAAATTTTTCGAGAGAACCATGGATAATTGGAGGTACGTAACAGGTATTATATCGTTTATTTTTATTCAAATTATACATTCTCCTAGTCCATTAAAGATTAGTAATGTGGTGAACTGGCCTTTAGCAACAATTTAACTAAATTTAGTTGTGCTTATTTGCACTTTATGAAGCCGTTCTTTTAAAAGGACGCTAGTAATATCGGTATCTAATAAGTTATTTTTTCAGCTATTGGCATAAGCCATTGAGCTTGCATGATCTTTTGCTCGAAGTTGAGAATTTAGATGTAGACGAGGCTGACAATCATACTCCTGTTGATATAGTTCTTCTGCCACCTGAAACCGCAAACGAAGACCATACTGACGAAGATTCAGGGGATGAAGAGTCTGTTCAGATAAGTAATCTTCCTGGAAGTCAACTGCGCGCTCCTGTTGATATTATGTGTCGTGATACTGGTACAAGTGAAACAGTGGCTACGGATTTGAACTCCGATGATGACGATGTACCTTTATCAATATTGTGTGGTAGATCTACGTATATCGCACCTCGGGAAGAATCTAGCAGTGAAAGTGCAACCACTGCAAAGAATTTCGTTTGGAACCAAAATGCAACACTTCACACTTTCCAACATTTTATCAAACCGATAGGGCCGGAACACAGTAATACTCCCTTGGAACTTTTTCAATTATTTTTTGATAAAGAAGTTATGAATCTCCTATGCTTTCACACTAATAATTACGCAAAATACAATAATAGTCCAGGAGATATTACTGTTGACGAAATCTACTGTTTTGTAGGTGCGTTAATTCTTAGTGGTTACGTTAGACTACCAAAGCGCTTTATGTATTGGGAGATTGCGGACGACTGTCATAATAATTTGATCGCAACTGCTATTTCGCGAGATCGGTTTACATATATAATGAAGAATCTTCATTGCTGTGATAATAATTTTCTAAATGCCTCCGATAAATTTGCAAAAGTCAGACCACTTTTCAATTCATTGAATGAGAGATTTTTGTCCAAGTGAGGAAACTTATTGTGTAGATGAAGCTATGATTCCGTATTATGGTCGCCATCCCACTAAACAATTCATACGCGGGAAACCCATACGTTGGGGTTATAAATTCTGGGTTGGGGCAACACGATTGGGATATGTAACATGGTTCGAACCATATCAAGGAGCACTTTCTGAACACAATGTCAATTCGTATAAAGGGTTAGGATTAGGTCCAGGTGTAGTTTTGCGCTTTACCGATGTTATCCAGAAATCAAAGCCACTTATGACGTTTCATTTGTACTTTGATAATTTTTTTACAACTCTGTCTTTATTGGATATTCTTTCACAAAGGGGTATAAGGGGCACAGGAACTGTTCGTGAGAATAGATTAGGCGTATGTCCCATATCCTCTTCAAATAATTTAAAGAAAGGTCCAAGAGGAAAGTTTGAATTTGCATATGCCACATCTCCCACCTCGACATTATTCGTCTGCAAATGGAACGACAACAATGTGGTTTCAGTTGTCAGTAACACAAGTTCTGCCGAACCAGTGCGTCAAGTGAAGCGCTATTCTCAAAAAGAAAAGAAAAACATACAAATTGACCAACCAGATCTAATAAAAAGCTATAATTCCAATATGGGCGGAGTTGACCGATCTGACCAAAATATTGGACTATATCGAGTTTCAATACGGGGGAAAAAATGGTATTTTCCTCTCATCTCTCACTCTGTCGATATGTCAATTCAGAACGCCTGGCAACTACACAGAATTCAAGGAGGTAAAATGGATCAGCTAAGTTTTAGAAGAGCAATCGCCACTAACATCCTAGAAACACATAGAAGACCTCCGAAAAGAGGACGCCCACGATCATCAAACAATGCTCATGCGTATTCCCGCTTTGATAGAGTAGACCATGTTATAGTATACCAGGAAATGCAAACAAGATGTGGTCAATGCCACAAGAAGGTTCAATTTAGATGCGAGAAATGCAACATTGGCCTCCACCCAAAACAATGTTTTAAAGATTATCATATACAATAAATAATAAACCAAGCTTTGTTTATTATCTTTAGCATGTTTACGAAATCAATAAAATCATTTAAAAAGTGTGTTGGTAGTTTATATTACTAGCGTCCTTTTAAAAGGACTTTACTGTTGTGACAAAATCAGTTCCTTTGAAATGAAAAAATTTTGTTTAATGATTATATATCATGTCTTTATAGTACAACAATTCTTTTTCGTGGGCTACTTACATTTTTTTAACGAAAAAAATTAATTCAGTAATGTGACAGTAACCCATTGCGGCCGTGACTAACGCTAATGGCCTTTCTTACTTAGCAACACCGCGCAATAGTTCAAATGACCTGTTGGTTCATTACCTAGCCGGAAGGCGTTGGGCTAATTATTTTGAGGAATATATGAGGTACCCGTGACAGCCAACAATGGCATGTCTGCCTGTTAGTCAATGAATTATTTGTTACATTACAGCCATCATTCGCAGTCACCGCTTCAAGGTTACGAGTTGGAAATATAAGCTATTGGCCGAGCAGTACCAGTAGTGCTTAGTCCAGTAGTACGTAGGTCTCGAAACAGTTTGGTGATCAGTAGCAGAAAAGTTGGTTATTGCTATTGACGTTCAAGGATTTTAAAACATCCCCAAACGACATTTACGCCAAGGAGTTGGCGGGTATTTAATGGGGCACCAAGTTGCCACATATTGTGTTTCAAACCTCCATTTTCATGTTAGCAGTTTTAGATGTGAACTACAGAGACAAGCTAATCTGGCTGATGCAACAAACCACCATTGGTATTTAAATGGGAGAAGGACATACACCGCCCCACTTTATTTCCGATTATACTTTCGCCGGCTAGTATCACCAAATGGCAGGCTATATATTGAAAGGGAAAGGAGAAGGCAGAATTTTATTACGGAAAAAAACCTTATCGCAGGATTGTCGTTCGAGGATCACGAGGAACCTGCCATCTAACCTTTAAATTGGAAGCCAGCTGTTTATATCATTCCTATCCAAAAGTCCATTGTGCATTGGGCAAACGTTGTTATTACATACATACAACTATACAATGGCGTAATTGTTTAGTAAATAAAGCGATAAAAGTGTAAACATTTTCTTCTTTCTCTTAATGCCCTATAAATAAGATGGCGGATGTGCAAACGGTCCGTTTCAGGAAAGGTTTCGATCACATATATAAAACCTACCGTTGAAAGGTGTATTATTTTTCAGTTGCGAAAATACTGCTATCAAGTATATCTACAGCTTTCAAAATAAAACAGCCTTCTGATAAAACAGCGTAAGCAGATAAACAAATAAACAGGTAAACAGATAAACAGGTAAACATATTAAACAGGTAAACAGATAAACAGATAAAAACAGGTAAACAGGTAAACAGACAAACAGGTAAACAGATTAAAACATGGTAAAACAGATAAACAGGTAAAACAGATAAACAGGTAAACAGATAAACCACTTTCTTGCCTACATTCACCATGGATATTAATTCGGACGTTCTCATAACGCATGCTTCAATTGGAAAACTGTTAAAGGACAATTTTCCATTACGACGATACGATAAAGTTAGAAAATAGAGACTAAGTTATGTTGGTGTCTACCCTATGAACGTCCACGATGCGCCTAACGTTGCCAACACTACTATCAACAAGACTAAATCTCAACGGAAACCGGTTAATTGAACCTCGCCGATCCAGTAGGACGACCGCGATGCCATAAATAAGCGGTAACCTCACACAATACATGCAGATGCGAAAGCGCCCGTAGACAGTCTTCGCAATTACGTAGCGGTTACTAGAAGGAAGAGTTGAAAGCGGTCAAAAGAAACTTTACATAAACTAATAGAGGATGCAGCAGGTGGTGAACGAGTTACACAAAGCGGCGCGCAAAAAACTTCCCTCGTAGACGTACCATCATAAAGCTTCGAGTGATCTTTTGGCAAGCCAGACTAAGCCGCAATTATACCTTACGCAAAAGAGAAGAAGGCTATAAATACATATAGTAGTTATCGATGTTTTTTCAAATATCTATGGACGCGAGGTTGAAGACTAAAACGGGTGAGGAGGTGACAAAAGCCGTACAGGCGTATTTTCAAAATCTACGAGACGCAGACCGAAAAATCTACAGACGATGCAGGGAAGGAATTCTATAACAAAATTCATTCGCCAAATTAAATGATGCAGAACGCATTTAATCACTATTCCACGTACAGTACGAAAAGCCGGCCACTGGCCGAGAGGTTATAAAAGAAGTATAAAAAACCCCTTTGGTACCGGCAGTTTTAGTTTTTAACGCGGAAAATATGTTATGGATAGATGCAATCGAATCGAATCACGAGCGAGTACAATATCGTAAACATCGAACAACGGGATGAAACCGATCGAAGTGAAGGCCGATACAAAGCTGGACGCCTACACCACATCAAGCTCTTCAACAATAAGAAAATGCGTTTTAATGTCGGCGATTTGTAGTTCGAATTAGCAAATTTAAATCCATATTTGCGAAGGGCTACACCCCATGGTCCAGTGGCAGCTGTTCAAAATATAAGTACAAATAACAAATCCGGTCACGATATTTGCTTGGAAGACATGAAGGCTAACGATTTTAGGTGGATTTACGAACATGAGGTTGCAGAAGAGCCAAGTATTCGGACGTATATTTGGTTTGAAAAAGTCCTTGCGTTCGCAAGAAAGACAAAGTGTACGTGAACATGTTGGGTCTGCGACGAGAAATCGTGGATTGATAAAAATAATTGTTGTTCTATAAGGTTATGATGTGCGATTTGAATACAATAAATTAACTGAAAAACTTAAATTTTTATTTTTATTATTGTAATTCACCATACAACATATTTTCCTAGTGTCTCTTTTCTCATTATCGTTTAAAAGTAAATTCTCGAGTCTTTTTATAATCCGAGCAATTGAGTAGAGGCGCCATATTGCGGAGTTTGGTCCGCAGGTCCAAACCGAGAAGTGCATCAGGATTCTCTTCGCTTTACGGATATTTTTCCCAATTATCCATGTGTATATCTCGCGATGAACCGATTGTTCCTCGTGCGTATTAAATCTTACACTCTATTCCTTTTCTACGCATACTTTAAATAAATAATGTTAGCGGCATTAAACATTGGCATATTCTGCAGATTAACAAATACTTTCATGTATTACATAATGAAATTATCCTTTATTACACACCTGCCAGAAGGACTTTGAGCTAAATTAATACATATTGTTTGATATGAAACGGTAAACTATTCAATATACTACCACTACTACAATCACTAACATTACAGGATGTATTGATTTTACTTAACCTATTCCCAGTTCAATTTTCTCTCTATCAGTTAATCTAATATTAGTCACATACATTTCTAGAGCAAGCACACCACCGAAAACAATTCATCGGGGAGGATAATGAGGTTGTAAACACCTTATTAATGAAGGTAGTGGATGAGATTTCTCAATAGAGCTTGTTTTTACAAAATTGTTGATAAATGGGAATAGAAGCTTTGTATAGCTCCTCCTCCAATTGTATTTTTCAAATTTTTCGCTATCCATTATCCCGTATTGTTGTTGTTTTGTTATTGTTGAGGGGTTTTCCTAAAATTACAAAAGGTGTGGTTAACCCAG